TTGTATTTTTCTGGATTTTTGTTTTAGATTCCATCACTCACAGTTGAAGAGTACCTATGATAAAAAAATTACAGTCATCTACAAGCTTTGCAAGTGGGAAAACCTGAAAAATCAACAGTGTATCAAATACTTGTTCTCCCCACTGTATGTATGTTAAACAAAAATACTTTAAATCTGAACAATTCCTTCACAAATGCCTACTATGCTATGAGAGGAGTTCTGCTGAAGGTGATATGTGCTGCGGCATCTTGGGCCTCGCCGAGCACATTTACCASATTCTATAATTTCAATGTGGCTGCCTCTCATCCTCTGGGCCAGGTGCTTCTTCAAGGGTCTCCTGGGCTTCCTCAGTGAGGTATGTGCTCAGGATTCTGTGTGACATCGTTGGTATTAGTCATTCAATGTTTTCAGCACTGCCCTCTGGCGGTCAGCAGGGATGAAATGGAACGAAAGTTAAGAATGTAACTACGGTTCTATGAATCCAGAATTACTGCCAGAGCTTCTGTCACCCAGAATCCTCGCGTTTCGCGAGAAGATTCTGTAGGAGCAGAGCCCCGGATGTTACCCGCCTATATCGGTTCAAGGTAATCATCTGATGGGTCACAGCTGTGACTTTGTTGATATTAATTACTCGAACATCGCATTTGCAAAAGAAACATTCAATGCTTTCAGCACCGCCGTTTGACGGTCATTCGGGATTCATAGAACCGTGGTTGCATATGTAACTTTCGTTTTATTTGTTGAGATTCCATTTAAGGTATTTAGTTAAAAAGAATTGAGAGAATAGAAAAACATCACAATAGTTTGAAACCTTGCCGTCATAAAAGGGAGAAGTGTGATTTACAACAATAAAATGTCTATTTTTAATTGATAAATAGTTAAAACATTTTCCTTTCTCTTTTGCAGAAGTCGTTCATTTATTTAATGTAAATTTAGTGTACTGATCTGACATTTAACTAATACATACTGTAAATTTTCTGGTAATTGTTTCCTTATAGATATTTATTTTAAAAACAACTTCACATCATAAATTTTATTTTAAAGTTACAAATATGTGCAGCTTTATGTTATTTCTGTGTACAGTGTTTGTATATTAGTGATAATAAAACAGTTAACAGTTGATCCTTACCTGTTGTCCGTTGCGAATGAACATACTGAACCAGGTCCGGACTTTACTGTTGGTTCCCAGCAGCAGACCACTAACGTAAGACACAAGTGGGCTGACTGCCTCATCAGGTGCATCTGGCTTATAGTCCAAAGTAAGAGCCACACCAAGACCGGGCAGGTGACACTCCTCCACCTGAAAAAAAAAACACACACACACACACACACACACA